TAGAAAAACATAACTTTTAACATTAGAGTTATGCATCTGAACAGAAAATATTTAATTCTAAACGGGCCTCAAATAAAAAATATTAGGCAAAAAAAAATTTAGTCTTAATTAACGCTAAAATAATTAAGAGACCATCTATTACAAAAAAATATCTTTTTAATCAATAAATCAAAATCATTTGATTTATTTAGAATATACGATATTATTCCAGTGACATATTCCACATATTATGAAAATGAGCAAAAAAAAACGAAAACATGTTTAACCACAACTAATTTACGATCTTAAATTGATGTACAAATAAAATTTTCAATTTAATTGATTAAAAATAAAATTTAATGATGTCATAAATCAATATTTGCGTATATTACGTTATGTACATACATAAAACATAATTACTATTAAAATATATACAAGTATTGATATAATATCCGTTACTGCAATTGAGAACTTAGTTATATGCTGCATCTTATATAATTCTATTATTTTTATTGCGTAAATTTTTCGATTTTCTTAAACACGTGATTTAATTGAAAATTCAAAATTGAAGTGGCAGAAGTAAAGCATTGTTATGATTATAAGTGTTACTAACAAATCTATAGTTTATATAAATTAGGCAGGCAGTCACTTTCTATATTTAACATAAAAAGCGACTGACTGTCTAATTTTTACAAAAACGAAAATGATTACACTAAAACTATTTCTAAAAATTCTTAAATCTAATTTTTCTTAATTTAATCGTGTAATAATTACAATTCAATTTATAGACATATTTTAAATCCCGGAAAAAGACTTTAATTCATTTGACAATTCGGCGTAATCAGTAGCACTTCTCCCGCAGTCCGGACATTTTAAATAATTAATTCTCGAGCTAAAATTAAAACAAAATTTCTAGCTTTGCTGTAAAATTTGAAGATAGAATCTGGAGGTCTTTGTGTAGTAACAATATACGTAAAAGAAAGAACTTTTACATAATTGTAAAACAAGTTAATTGTTACATAAGAATAAACTAGGTTGCATATTATTGTATTAATTTGCATTTACATATACCGATATACGCAAATTTCCAGTTCTTTGCAGAAAAATTTCTGTTAAAAATTATATTGTGGTTGTATTGAACCACAGAAATAATGCCTGAAAATATGCAATGCATTTAAATAGCCGGACCATGATAAAATTATAGGCAAACATCTATAAGACTAAAACTTCTGCCTTTTTCGAGAATTCTCAATACAATAATTTTACTACATTACGGACAATACCAAAGGTCCAAGGTACACTAAGAAAATTTGCTATGTGAGAGATTTTGAGTTTAAAAAAACTTTTGACTCTCTTATTTTCTTACACATAAAATACTAGAAAAAAACTCTTGCCTGTTCTTAGTTATTAGGAATAGTTTATTTATTTGTAGCTAAATAGATTTAAAAGATCTTAGCGAATAATTAGAGAGGCTCAAATTTTTTTTTAATACTTTAAACTTGCAGCTATCAGATAATTTTTATTTTATAAATTTCGTCAATTTGAAATGCTTTTTAGATAATTAAATATTATGAGTGCATATCCTTTGTTGGTTTTTTACTTAAAATTTCAGAAGCTAATATTAAATTAAAGAAGAAACTTACATAATATAAATGATTTTCGGACGCCTATAAGCAGCATTAGCAAAACAATTTTTACACACTAACGACATTTTTAGATTTTTTAATTATTTTCGATTAATTTGTCATTTTTCGCCGTAATTAAATTTAAATTAAATCTTAATTAATATTTTAGTGACTGTACCGCATAAAAAATGCGATTTTTATTCTTTGTTCCGTTTAATTTATAAAACGTGATGAATGAATATACGATACTTTTGCATAATATTCTTGAGAGTTAAAAGCAAAAAAAAATTTGAAGAAGAACAATAATAAGAAGGACTGTAAAGAACATTGTTAATTCAATTAAATTTTTTCATTCATATTTTTTTTTTACTACATCATTATTAGAATAGCAAAATTTACAATAATTATTACGAAATAATACAAAGTCCCGCCTACGCATATTCATAAAATGATGTTGCTCTTAATCATTAATTTTGATCTTATTTATAGAACAATATTGTTCTGGTAATGTTATATTTTTTGGTTAGTACAACTACTAACTAAAAGTGCTTATATAGTTACGGAAATCTTTGTAAGATTTAAAAACCGGTAACGTGAAATATAACGTTACATTCACTTTTATTTTTATATTTTTTAAAAGAGTGTAGTTAGATTTATAGTTAAAATGGGTATATCTTTGAGGATTATTTAATATTAAATGACAATTTGAAGTTATTCTAAGCCATAATAGGTGTTTTAAAACTTAATATAATTAGTTTATGACAAGGTAGTTAATATAGAAATGAGGTTTACAGCCTGATCGTGTATCTCGCCTTTTTACTTACTTTTTGTTCACTTTCAGATCAGAATTCATAGTATTTTTTAATAGATGTTTCACTTTTTCAATAAGATTACTCATTCTTTTAATTGAAATATTTGAATTTTTTGTCAAATTATCAACTGAATGTCTCACTTCGAACGTACCAAAAACAAAGTGAGTAAATTTTGTATGCATTTTGGAAAAAAAGCAAGATACGCGATAACAAATAATTCTTCTCACTCGAAAATTACACTATTCAAGTATAAGATAGACGATCAGGCCCTTAAAGTCATTTTGAAGTAATTAATGTTATGAGAGATGTTACTAAGCAAATATACTGAAGCGCATTGAAATATTGCCGTACTTTTATTATAATTGGTGTAAAATTTTAATAAATGTTGTTTTTTGTATTGCAAATTCTTTATGTGCTTCAGTTAAATGCTGTAAAACAGAAACAATTGTGAATTATGAACCATAATTCAAAATGATTGAATAATTAAAGCGTTTGGCACTCAAAGTTAAATTCACAATAAAATTAATAATTTTTTCATTAAGTAACAATTGAATAAAAAAATATTGATTTCAATAAACTAGAATATTTAACATTACAAATGGAAATTTAATTCATAATACTTTTCAAATAATTTAATAACTTCATTTTTTTCAAATACACTATGTAATATAAATAGTAATGAGAATATGGTAAGAAGATCACTAAAAATTTATGAGTTTCAAGTAAAATCGAAATTATTTTTATACATAATAATTTTTTTTTTTTGTTGTTTTTTATGTATTTATATATTTTTTTAAGTTAAGTTTAAATAATGATGTCAATTATTCACCATTTGAGTGATTTGACTGAATAATCGTAATTGTTGTGAACCATGTTGGTCACGAATCAAATTCATTTTGATATGCCGGATGCTAAAGAAACTAAAATTTTTTTCTTCATTTTTCTTTGCTTGTATTCTTTAATTTTAATATTGCATTAAATAACATAAATAATAATTTGAAAGATGCACCATTTTATAATGTGCTCATATATTAAATGCTATTATTTACTTTTTTTTTCTTACAGTAATTTTATAGGTTAAGAATTTTGATAGATTTAACATTATTTATATTATTATAAATGTATACCGATTAATATGAGTTATTGCGAAATATTATACACTGTTAAATTTGTTTATGTAATTTTGGAACTGCAATATTTCAAAAATCGAATACAATATGACCCTTAATGAAATATTTATCGTAATGTGTACTTCAAAGAAAATCATGAAAAAGTTACCACCTTTGTATATGTGTCACACATTTTGGAAATTCTCTAAAGTTAGAAAACAAGCACATGTATTGCTGAATGTCTCTTGAATTCATAACATTGGTATAAAGTCAGTGATTTTGTTTACGTCAAAATGACTTGCTCAATATGCTAGTTCAATGATATCGCAATGATGCATGATTATTATTCACATAATATGCAATTACACGTGATTTTATTTTATTGTTCTGTTATGGTGGAAAGAATATTGTGTAATAATAAAAGTTTTAATTGCTATTTTTTTTTAATTAATTAACTAAGAATTATGACATCACTAAAAATCATCCAGTTAACATACAAAGATTTTATTCAGATTAGTATAGAATGTGATTTAGAGTATAATAATATTGTATAACAAAGATATCTGAAGAATCCTATAAAAGAAATCTAAAAAATAATATTATCTTAGAGTAGATCTAATGTCAATATATCTTAAGGCACATGTAATGTCAATATATTTGTATCTGGAACAAATTTTTTATTTAATAAATTAACAATTCCACATTAACTAGCATTCAAATAAATACGAGTATTGAAATAAATATTGTGTGCCCCATCATGTTATGCAAAATTTTCAAATATGAAAAAAACCTGCTAAAATATTGCATATTTTCGGGAGAATGAAAATGAGTTTCCGGATGATATATCAAAAAAATTCCACTACATTATTTTGTTTCACATTTTCCAATTGTTTCAAATTTTTGTTCGTTGATTTGAAAACTTTTTTTATTCATGCAAGAAATTAAAATGGTAAAGTAAATGTAGAATAAAACATTTTGGTCAAAGATATTAAAAATCTAATAAGTCGAACAAATGAAGTAATTCAAATCTCATCTTCAATATTATTTTCTATAAACCCAGGGGTGTCTTTTAAATTTTATTTTAATTAATTGCTAATGAAATTTTTGGGACAATTCTTCAATTCACACTTAAAAGTTTAATTGGCCATAGAAATTATAGGTAAACCTTTTTTTAATCACAAAGAAATTTGCAGATTTTCTGAATCTGTCATTGAATAATTTTATTCAACCTAGACGAATTTTTACAAATTGTTTCATATGAAAATATTTAATTAACATCGGTAAACTACGAATCAATAAGTTGAAAATATTTACTTAGCCCAAAAAAATTATTAAAATAATAATTTTAGTCATTGAAATTAAGGGCCTGAACAGTTACAAATAAACGTATATAAATAATAACAAATTTTAAAAAAAAATCATTTAATTTTTACTAGTAAAAAGAAACTACACGTATAATTAACATAATTTTTTTAATATTAAATTTACATTTGCCTTGTTGTATAATGATCTAAAAGTAATATGGGAAAAGTTTTTTCTACAAAAATACAAAGTATTTTTTAAACAACTTCTAAACTTAATAAATACAAAAATGTATAAAATTTTCAAAAAGAAAAAAAAAAATTATAAAATGTGATGTTTTTTTTTTAATACCCCTTTAAAAAATGATGATAGCATGTAAAAAAAAATCTTCAATTGATTGGATTATTAAACTAAAATATCAAATGTTACACAACACCATTGCCAAATTCTTTAATACCGAGTAAATCGCAGCTAAATTTAAAAAATTTTTCACATTTTTCTGGTTTCTTAGCATCAGGATGACATCTAGCATGTACACAATTTGTTAAATATGTACCACCTTTTCCTTCTAATTTACGTCCAATTGCTGCATATACTACAGTTCTTGATCCCTCCTCGGGAGTCTACAAAAATGCAATATTATTAGAACAATAAAATATGATTATAAATTGTTAATTCTTATTTAAAAGTTTTTGTAAATTACCTTAAAAAGTAATTTTTTAAATGTTGGAACTGATGTTGTACTTGTATATTTAAACAAATCAGTATCAACAAGTCCTGGATGAACAGCATGTACTTGAACAGGCGCTTCTTCTTTTTCCATTAGATGATTTATATATTTTGTTGTCAATACTTGAGCTAATTTACTTTGATTATAAGCGGTTGGGGGATAATATTTTTTTCTACAAATATATAAAAATTTAGAATATGTAAAAATTTTTGCTTTTCATACAAGTTCTCAACTTACGTTAAATTTATATCATCATAATTAATTTTCCCAACCATATTAACAATTGATGAAACATTAACAATACGAGCATTTAATCCTTTTTTACCAGCTGCTTTTAATTTTGGCAATAATAAATGTGTTAAAAGAAAATGACCTAAGAAATTTACAGCAAAATGTGATTCATAACCATCTTCAGTTAATTTGTATGGAGCACACATTATTCCAGCTAAAAACATTCAATAAAAATATTAAATTAATAATTTCAAATCAAGCTAGTAGGTATATTAGAGTATATTAAAGATCAGGCATTTTGAATTTTCTTACCATTATTAATTAACAAATCAATTTTTTCATAATTATCTTGAATTTTCTTTGCAAATTCTTTAACAGAACTTAAACTGGCAACATCAAGTTTCTCACAAATTAATTTACCACGAATTGTGGAAAAATCAACAGCTTCCAATATATTTTTTCTACCTCCTTCTGGATCACGGCAAGCTACATTTTGAAAAAATATAAAAATAAATTAATTAATTTTCAATCATTTAAAGCTTAAATTAAAGTAATTTAAAATTTAAAGATTTGAGTGTGAAATAATTATAGACCCTATTTTAAATATAAAATCAATGAAAGGAAGTCGACTTAATATTTTTAAATTTTTTATCATTCCTGCATCAGGATCTAAATGTTTACAATAACATCATTACAATAAACTGCTAATTGCGAATAATTTTCTTTCTTTCGTCTCCTTAGTTTGTTTTATTAGGGTATGAATTAATTCCATTGCTCAACAAATAATAATTATTATAGGTTCAAATAATCAAAAAAAAAAATCTTATAAATTAAAACTAAATTTATGATAATACTAAATTAATTTAAATTTCAGGAAATTTTAAAATATGGGAAAGCAGCGGCATTAGAAGAACATAAAATTCAAATAGGAAATTCATATTTTATAGTAAGCAGTATTCAAAAAGGGGCCAAAGAAGAGCTAATTAGCAACTTTGTGTATGTAAATATTTGTATGCAAAACATTTGCCTCAACTAATTATTTTATTTATTTTTCAGTTAAAAATAAATTAAGCAAAAAATGTTACAGTAACTAAATCAATCTTGCAAAAACCATCTTGCAAAAATTAAAGTGGGATACATGTCTCTAAATGTAATAAGGCCATAAACCCAATAATTGGCTTCAAAAACTATCTTGATTTTTCGCTTTAATATTTGGATAATTTTCGATCAATAATTTCTATAAAAAAAAAAAATCCATTTAGCTGTGGAACAGAAAGGCCAATTATTTATAGTATTTGGTATAGAAAATTTTATACAGAATTCTAGTATACAACTATCTTTCTATCATAGAATTTTATTACTACTACAAAACCGCTTTAACCCAGTTTAAGATTAACTCATTAACCTATTCTTTCAAACACTCTAAACCTGTTTAGAAATATACAATTAAATAAGAACATAATAACAAGAATAACAAGAATAAGATAGAGAATTTCAAATATAAGTTTGAGATTCTCTAAAATAAAAAAAGAAAACCAATTTAAATTTAATTTGAATAAAATATGTTAATTTTAAGCAAACTCAACTGCATTGTTAATATTTTGAAAATCTTTATGTTTACTATAAAATTCAATGATTTTTTTTTTTTTTTTAATTGACGTATACAAATTGTTTACTTATAACCTTGTATCCATAATTACAATGCCCTATGATGAGAATATTTCGTATATTTATTGCATATATATGTATATAATAAATATTATATACTCACGTACTCATATATAGTTCTAATGCATTTCTATTGTAATAATAAATTATTCATTCTTATTTACAAAATCAAAGTTATTTCAGTATTAAAAATTCTAATAATTTTACGAACGTTCTTACAAAAAAAAAACAAATTCTATACAAATAACCTACTATATGTATAACAGTATTGCATCGTGTTATTTTTCAGAAAAATAAGAAATTTTTTTTTGTTAAATATAATTACTTAATAAAATTTAACACTTAAGTATGAAATAAATATTTTTATAATTTAAAATAAACAATTGATGTAACATACTATGTGAATTTATATTGCGGTAAAATAATTGTATAATTTTATAGAATCATATAACAAATTATATATTATATATAAGTATGCAAGTTGAACTTACCCATTATAACAGTCATTTCACATTCTAAAAGTTTTTCAATAATTCGAAGTCCAATGCCACGATTACCGCCAGTTACAATTGCAATACGATCAGTTTGTTGTAATATTGCAACATTATTTTTTTTATTTAATGAAATATCTTGAATAAGTCCTAAGATACCCATATATTGAAATCGAAATTCTGTTTTCCATTCATACCATGTTTTTGGAAATTCTTTAGATGATCTAAAGAAATAGAATCCTAATATCATAAGTATTAATAGTGTGTATAATAGAAAAGTTAATAATCCCATTTTTTTTTTTTTGTTGTTGTATTCCTTGAAATTCCTTTCTCTTTTAGATTTCCTCTAATATTATAAACTATTTTAATTAAACCAAATTTTTTTAATTTTTTTTTTTTTATTGATGATTTTCTTCAATTTTTTCTTCTGATTTTATTCGTCAACTCCAACTTATCCGAATTTGAACTGATCAATCTGATCACTAACTTTCTACTGATTTCTTCTCTCTTTTGTTTTGATTTTATTTTTTTTTTTTCGTCAGTTTTTATTCGATTTGTATATTAATTTGTAATAGTTTCCATTAGGTATTTTTTATGTGAACAACCAAAAAAAACAATAGAGAGAGAGACAGATAGAAAAAATTTGGAAAAAACGAATACCTGTAAATAAAAAAATAAATAAATTAAAAAAACATTTTTTTTTTTTTTTTTTATTTTTTGGTAAAAGTTATAAAACACCTATATGTGTCTATATGTAATATGAACGTATATAATATATATATATATAAATATAAATTAAAAACTAGGCAAGATGATTGTGCTTATTGCCATATTATTATGTAGAATATTAAAATTGAAATTTTGACAAAAGCTACACCAATCTGTACCCACTAAATACTCGTAAACTTTTTTCAAAATTGCGAACTTTTAAATTTTAAATTTTTTTTTATTAAATTTCTTAAATTATATTAGCTAAATTAATTTGAGGAATCTTAGTAATTATTAGCGTATACTGAATTACAAACCGTGTATGTATACTTGCAATACAGTTTCTTATTAGAAAAATAAATATATGCATCTTGAATCGCTTCTGTACAAAATGACGCAACAGTCAAAGTGAAAAATATGTATTGCTCATATAAGTCAAAAATAACAAAGAGTAACACTTTAACTCATTCCTTTGATTACGTCATCCATCTGTTCTGCAGTTGCATAAAGAAATTTCCATTAAGTTAAAGAGCAACACCTTCATTATGTCTAATAAGCTTAATATATTTATTTGAAAATTTTACATAGACAAATTTAATAAATAATTTTAATAAGTTTGGCAAATACAAGATGGTCTTGAACAAGAATAAATCACTATTAATTGTGTTAGAGTGTTTTTAAAATTTTAGAGCTATCCTTACAGTTCTTAATTCTATTTACAAAATGATAACAAACAGTGGAAATTCAACAAAAAAACCTAACAGACTAACATGCTGATACCATTTTCAGACGCTTTCAAACTCACTTTTTTTGACAAGTGACGGATAACTTACTTGTCTATAAAATACCCAATGTGTAGTTTGAATTAAAAAAATTTAAAGTAAAACTTTCAAAAACAAAGGTTCATCTTAAATCCAAAGTGGAGGAAACAAGCTTTTATGCATAACTTTTTCAAATATAGTTTTTTGTTGAAATAAATTTAAAAAAAAAAAAAAAGAAATTAAAATATTAAATAAAAAATCAAATTGTGTATTTAAAAAAAAATTTTTTTTTGCTGTGAATATCAATATGTGAGCATACGTAAGACATGTATTGCATACATGTATTTACAACATGTATGTAACACATAATTGCATTATAAAAAAACACACACACACACATTTCAAAAGGCGGCTTTTAATAACGGTAATTTAATAAATATTTACTCTTATATTATATGAGTTCAATCAAATATTGGGTATAAGCATATATACATACATATGTATGTACATATTTGTATATTTATTAAAATTTCCCAACTAATACCAAAACAAAATCAAAATATGAATAATTAAATAAATTTTAAAAAATTGATAATCAATTATTAAAATAAAAATAAAACAAATTAGGCATACATTTTAATTCGGCACAATTTCAGCCTTGACCGTTGTATTTTAATTTTATACTATATAAATTTTTTTTTCGAAAGAGCATATAATTTTAACTTAATCTAACAACACGTAATTTAACAACACTGTTGTGCTTATAATATCACTTATATTTGTATCGCAACCATGCAATAAAATGTATTAACTAAAAAAATGCAATTCCATAGATTCCGAAGAACATTGCGAAAAATTTGAATATTTGCCCATTAACTGTATTATAGAGAATTTACATATTCATATTTAAAATTTATTTTAAAATTTATTTATAAAAATATTTTCTCGCATTTTTCTCAAAACTAATTTTATTAAGTTAATACAAATTTAGTTTGTACCTATGCATATAAGTTTAATACTCGTATATGAAAATTTATTATATCAAGTTCACTATACATACGAGTAAACTACTCTGTGTGATTATTACGAGTAAACAATAATTAGTGATTATTAATTATTAAAGTAGTTTAACACTAAATTTTATAATATTGAATTTAATTTTTTATAGTATTAAATTAAAATTGAATTTTGTATTGAACTTTATGTATGTTACATATTATTTCATGCATTGGTGATATCAATAGGTATAAGATCTGTTATAAGAAAATTATTTAATGAATTTATATTATTTCTTTATTTTTAAATTAATAATTTACAGTAAAACAGCACAACCATAGCTTAAAATTATAGCACTTGTTTATATTTTTATTAAAAATGATGAATTGTAGATTGTAGATTTTAAGAGAACCGAGTGGCAGAGGAGTAACTCCCAAGCCACCGCAGCCATTCTTGACTTATTGTAGCCTCCCCACGCTCCCGCCTATAATATCCCCTGCCCAACCACAAAGCCGGAGATATCCCTAAGGGATAACAGTTCCCGAACACTTAGGGACCCATGTCCAAGACAATTAATGATGAATACTCCAAAAATCTAAAGAAATCTAGCAAATTTTTTTTCCAAATAAGAAAAATAAAAAATTTAAGCGTCCATAACGTTATTTCTATTGACAAAATCTAAGCTTCATTAACGTTATTTCTATAGACAAATACGAAATACCATACTATGTTCAAATTGAAATTTGAAAATTAATAATATTTTTTATTTTAGTCTTTATAAAACAAATGACGAAAAAATTATTCGAAAATGCTATGATGAATTTGGAAAGTGAATTACAAAAAAAAAAAAATTCGACTTTTTCTAATCTTTCTTTCCCTGATATTATATGAAAAGTTTGTGTTATAGGAATTGAATACGATTATCTAGAAAAACCGGTTTGAATGAAATGTAAGTAGAAATTTCAGATTCACTTTTGGGCAATTCATAAATACGAAATTTATGGATCCATATGTATTCATACATTTTCTGCTACAGTTACAAAGTTATGGAAATCGTAATGAGAATTGCAGCTTTGATAGTAATGTGAATTTGTTTCTAACAGTGAACTAACACAAGTATAATGGTAACACAATAGATTTTTGTATTTATTAACAATATATTATTTAAAACCAAAGGCCCAAAAGCTCCTAATTTTAATCTTCTTTAAGTTTCTAAGATTTAACTTTTTATTTCTAAATTATTTGGATATAAAAAAGGATGTAATTAAAAAATTTTATTATTTTTTACATCATAATTTTCCAAACCAGTCTCCTTCTATTCTCGTCATTGAATATCATAATGCGTCATAATTGTACGTATGTAGATATATATGTATATATGTATGTAACACAATATTGTAGAATGAATATTGTGAATAACAATTATGGTTATTATGTAATTTGTTATTCGTATTATATGCACATGTATACATACGTACATAATATTTCAATTGTATATTGTTTAAAATATTTAATTTAACTATACAAAACAAAACTATGATCATACTCGTAACTCACAACGTCTATCCTATGAAGTCATGAAAATAAAACGTCATCTAAAATAATGACATTTTAATTCCATGACTTCAGAGATTACAAAATTCATGCAATTTTACAAATCTGATCTAAAATGTTTATTAATATCACATATTGCAATTAGAATTTTAAAATCAGGATTAATCAACATTTGAAATACACAACACTGTACGTGCAAACATTTAAATGCATATTATCTACTTTATTAGATAAAAAAGATATTTGTGGTAGAAAATTTGTATCACCAAAAATATCACTATTATAAAATACATAAATTTAAGTCTAAATCTGTTGAATCTACATAAAAGCAAATCTAATGTCAATTTGACTTATTCAGCCATAAAATTTCAATTGCAGATTGTAGATTAATTTTGTATTTCCATAAATGCTATAATTTTCAATTTCAATTCCATTTAAAATATATTTATATTATATAACAATGTATGTATAACAAAATGCGGACAGAACCGAATGCATGACATAATGTTGTACAGCTTGTTTTTTTTCACTAATTACCTTAAAATTTCAATTATTTAAATTATACCCTATTTTTTATTTAATAACAAGTTTAAAGCAAGCATGTTACGTTTCTTATTCTTTAATGGAACTACAATGTTACACAAATCATTTCAAATTTAATGAAAAAAAAATTTTTGTTACACAAACTGGTTCAGTAAAGAAAATACATATAGGTGATTACTGATTACATTTTAATCTATAATATAAAATTTTAAAAATCTATTAAAATAAAACAAAAATTAAAAGTATAGGTAAAAAAAAAATTGGTAAAGAAATAAGTAATATAAATGTTTAGGTCAAGGTTAAAATTCTTCTATGTTTAATTCATGCTCTTAACCGGTTATTTTTTTATTTCTTTTGCCTTATACTTTATGCGTAATGTAGCATGCCGGGCCTTAGATGATGATATTATTCATCTCCTTTTCAATTTACTTATAATTAATTTTTTTAATGTCGTTTATTACTGTTTCGAATATAAATGATTTTAAAAAAATAATTAATTTCGAAAAAGAAAAAAATTAGAAACACATACACTCTATATAAAATATAGTTTTAAATGGTCGTGATACTTTTAAGTTCAGACATTTTTAAGTCAATATTTAAGATATAAAAAATGAAATTTGAATAATTTTGTATCTTTTGCAAGCTTAGAGCAAACAATACTGAAGATTAAATTAAAATAATCTCACATATTATTTATTTATAAATTTTTCATTTTCTGCATAATAAACAAGTGAAAAATAATGATCTAGAATAATTACTTGGTATATAACTTGGTGAATGTACAAAAAATAATAAATTTTTAAAATTTAATCTTTAGAGCAATACACTCCTTAATTAACAATTTTTACTCACATAGAGGGTGTCTTAGAAAAAAAACACCAGTGGGTTAGGTAAAAACATACTTTTTCCAAATGTAAACTAATATACTTAAATGAAATAAAAAAAATTATTATTCCAATTAAGAATTATAATTCAGCAGAAAATTAGCGAAAAAAGTGGAAGAAATCAATTTAAAACAATTTCACGTTAAATAAAAATAAAACCTACATATGTAGCAGAGCGTGGTTTCGATCCACGGACCTCTGGGTTATGGGCCCAGCACGCTTCCACTGCGCCACTCTGCTTCGTGATTTAATAACGATTTTTTTTTATTGTTTTCTTACACTCCCAAATTTTTACTTAAAAAGTTATTTTGCAGTTCGTTAAAATTTTTATAAATCTTTACTTAAAAAAAAAACTTTACATAGCAGAGCGTGGTTTCGATCCACGGACCTCTGGGTTATGGGCCCAGCACGCTTCCACTGCGCCACTCTGCTTTGAGATGTAATACCGAATTTATCTTATTGTTTTCTTACACTGCCAAATTTTTACTTTAAAAGTGATTTCGCAATTTGTTGAAATTTTTACAAATCTTTACTTAAAAAAAAAACTTTACATAGCAGAGCGTGGTTTCGATCCACGGACCTCTGGGTTATGGGCCCAGCACGCTTCCACTGCGCCACTCTGCTTCTTGATTTAATAACGATTTTTTCTTATTGTTTTCTAACACTGCCAAATTTTTACTTCAAAAATTATTTCGCAATTTGTTGAAATTTTTACAAATCTTTACTTAAAAAAAAAACTTTACATAGCAGAGCGTGGTTTCGATCCACGGACCTCTGGGTTATGGGCCCAGCACGCTTCCACTGCGCCACTCTGCTTCTTGTTTTAATAACGATTTTTTCTTATTGTTTTCTAACACTGCCAAATTTTTACTTTAAAAGTGATTTCGCAATTTGTTGAAATTTTTACAAATCTTTACTTAAAAAAAAAACTTTACATAGCAGAGCGTGGTTTCGATCCACGGACCTCTGGGTTATGGGCCCAGCACGCTTCCACTGCGCCACTCTGCTTTACAAAATAAGAGTGTTAAAATTATATTTTTAATTTTAAATAAATTTTTTTTTGTAAACATGAGTTGCAATTCAAATTTTCAAACATAATATTTTAAAATACACGTATGAAAATTTTAACTATTATTATTGGTTTTTTTTTCAAGTAATTTTGAAATTAGTATTCCGAAAACGTCTTTTGAATATTTTTTTGTTGAAAACTTCAAAAGATTTATTTAAAAACTTAAATAAAAAAGCTTTTCTTTTAATATCTTTTCGTGTAAAGGCAAAAATAATTAAGCGAGTCAAATTTTATGACTAATAAGCATTTTTTATTTGAATACATGTACTATGTATTTTGCTTTGATTAATATTTTTGTATGGATAAAATATGGTTGAAGAAGAAAGAGCAGAGTGGCGCAGTGGAAGCGTGCTGGGCCCATAACCCAGAGGTCCGTGGATCAAAACCACGCTCTGCTAAATTTTTTATTGAAATTAAATTTTAAAAATTATTTTTTTTTTTAATGTTAAAATTAATGTTATATAAAATATTTTACTGGTAAAAAGTGCACACAGTTTTTATTAAAATTTTTAGTTATTGTTAAACTCTAAACAATGAGATTCTATTCCCTTATGCCCAATGAGATAATATTCCCTTTCGAAAAATCAGCCTAGTGTATACAGTCTGTTAGAAAGCCTCCAATTTGTTAGGAATGTTTTAAATAGAAATTATCTAATATGATAGATAGTTCAACAATAATTATATTCAATAGAGAACTCTAAATCAAAATGTGAAAATTAAAAATAAAATTAAAATTTCAAAAATTATGAGAGTGTGGACAAGGTTTAAAACATCTCTAAATATAAATTTTTGATTATACAACTATAATTTATGTTGGTATCTTGTGTTATATAATAATTTCTAGACATAAGAATTAATATTTGTATACAAAATCCAGCAACAATAGAAAATATTAGATAAAAATTCAATAAACTAAAACCTAGAAACTTTTATAACTTAAACTGAGGTCGGCAAGAGTGTTTTCTAACAACTTTACTCATTTAAGAAAAGGAAGTTTAACTCAAGCATATTAATTAAGTAAGAATATTATTATGATTTATACAAGGCAAAATAGCAATTGACAAAAAATTTAAAAACCTATCACAAAAATAAATAATAAATAAAAAGTAACAATGTACTGAATAATAAAATTGTGTTTATTTTTAGAGTTACCAGATATTGAATGCATCAATTTGGGAATTTTATACATATGTAAGAAATAAAAATGGAAATTTCTCCAATAATATTAGAACTGACCACCGTCTTTTAGCTTTTACTTAATTTCATATTAATATTGATATTGTATAGACGCTATATTAGGTAATATTATTGTTCAAATTTCGGATTTTTGGATTTATTAATTGAGTTAGTATAGGAATATATAGATATTCACTATTGATTATAAATTTTGTAAGTTAATATTTAAAGTAGGCGTAAGATACAAAAATTAAATAACAATTTTCTTAAAAATATATTATTGAGTAGCGATTTTTTATATAAAAAGATAAAATATTTCGCTTTATGTACATATAAGTATAAGTTTACAAAATTTAAACAAAAATTTTCCTAAGTTTCAATTCAGTATTTACTGATTTACAGCATGAATGTAGGCGTTTTACTACAATCATTAATAAAAATTAGCATTTATATTTGGAAAATATTAAAAAAAAAACAATATGAAAATTAATATGTAGGAATACATGTACATAGGTTAAATAACATAGAGTTTTGAATTTTAAATTTTTATTGATTGTAGAAATTTCACTGATTATAGGCAAGTTCAATGTCCTAAAAAATAAAAGTTTAAATTTAATAAAAGTATCTTCATATTTAATTGAATTAAAATTGGAAATCAATCGCTATTGTTAATTCATATTAAACATTAGCTGTATTCAAAGATCATATTTTAATTGGCTTCAGCAATTTGTCAAGTTAATTCAATGCAAAACTCTTACTTTACAGATTGTAATTCATTCTATATTTCAGTGATTTTAAGTGATCAACCTCTTTAAATTCTCACGATATTGATTAGTTTTTATAAACGATCTAGAAATACAAGAGAAATTATTAAAATTATATTTTTTTTATATTAAGTAGGTTGGTATTCATCCAATAAAGCAACTTCTGTACTACGTCTTCATATTATTAATATATGATTGTACGCATATTTAATTTATACCCATAAGAATTTCAAATATTGCAATCAGACAGTCCTTCATAACAGAAATTCTTTCTATACAAATAATCTTTTTATAGAATTTTTCATTTGTCTGTCAGTATTTCTTTTTATACTACATCAAACACTTACAAATAACTTCCAAATAAAATTCATTTCCTTTATTCTTAATTCAAATAAGGTGATTGCACACTTATAATTAAATAAGTATGTAAAATACAATTTTCAAATAAACTTTATTTGGTAAATAAAAACTTGACAAAAATATTAAATTAATAACGATACCTTAAATCAGTGACTAGGTACAATGACAATTATAAACTATAAGAAAATTATATTTTATTTTTTGAAAGTGGTTTCATGCGTGAAACCGAAACAAATACTTATTTTGGATGTATGCTAAACAATATTATAATTCTAAAATCTTAACCGGTTAAAATAAAATTACTTCTATTTTGGTATCTCATTTTGAAAAAAAAGTTTCATAAGGAACGCTCGTCTTCAAACTTGCGTAAGAAACACCCAACCCAAAACATTTATTTAAATTAATTTATTAAGATAGAAGTGGTGAATTAAAAATGAAAAACTAATTTTGTGGTGAAGTAAGTAAGGTAAGTACAAATAAAGTAATACAAGTACACATGTAGTAGATAGGTACATACTTACTTAAATAACCTCAAGATCTAAAATATCTTAAATACGTTGTCTTTTTTAACTTTTTGTGGGAATTTAAAAAATTCACTCAACAACAATAGCTTGTTAGTAATTTTTACAATTCCTATAAAAGATGTCTATTAAGTATTATAATAACATACGTTACATACTTATATGTACATTTACACAGATACATAATGCATAGGATTAATTATCTAGAAAATAATTTAGTAATGACTCTTAAATTTGAATTTAAGAGTCAATTGTAATTACAATTGATTTAATTAATTAAGAGTCGAAATGAATAATTAAAACTCGAATTGCAACTAGATTTAATGGTACAGTTCAATATTGAATACTTTAGTTCGTAGGAACTTTTGAATATGTACATAGGAGGATCGATCTATAGAAGATCTAAGATCTAATAAGTACATCGTAACCATGTACTTATTAGATATTAGAGGTAACGTACCATAACGTAGATGTATTTATTTACTAGGTACTTTAAAGAAATCTAAGAAGTTGCGAATTTTGATAAGCGAATGGATGGACACTAGAAAATCTCGACAGTATTTTGTATTTTAAGTTTGTACATTTCAGGCCAAATGTACATATGTATATATAAAATGCTGGACTTTAATGATCCTTAGACAAATGTACAATTAGAAGTTCCATGTTTTGTGTTTTTGTTTAAGACAGATGTGATTTACAAATCATATTTTCAGATAAACGAAAATACTTATATTGCATTTTGATTGATGAAATTAATCTATGCCATTACATAAATACGTATATAAGTATTTACTTCCTACATATATGTACATACATATATTAAACTTTATAGCACTAAAATGTACTCACTAAATTCTTTTAATTATTTTGGATTCCAAAAATAATTTTCACTTAATTTTTTTTTTTTAAAATATCTAAAAATTTCCGAAAAATTAATTTTTAAACTTTCAACTGGTACAAGTAAATTAACACTAATATTTCAACTTCATTCATATTAAACAAAATGATAAAAAAAATTTTAGATATTTTCCCACCTAAAATTTATTTTTGTAGTACAAAATGATTACCAGAGAAAAGTGAAATATTTTCGTATTAGAGCTTTTTATTTATATGTATAAAAGTAAACAAAACAACTTAAAGTTTATATAACAAAATTTAATAAAAAAATAAAACAAAAAGATTGAATGAATTTAGTAGCCCGTTTTCCAATACAAATTAATAATTTCATCTTAATATGTAAAAATTTTATGCTAAAAACAGGTTTTTTATTGTTTCATATCCAAGTTCATACGTAATGTAAACAAAATCATGTGGAATTAAATGTCATTTCCATTTTGTTTTCTCTTTCAAAATGTCATAAATATGAGATTTAAAGAGATATCTAGTGGCAAAATTTAAAACTTGATTTTTTCAAATATTTCATCTTCAAGAGGGGAATTACCCCATTCACAAAGCAAAAAAATTTAATTTTATCGTATTCACAATTACAAGACCTAAAATAATTCACAATCAACAAAATTATGTATAATATGTTTGTATATAACATAAAAAATATTATATAGTTTTATAAAATTATGTAGTTTTTTATAACATAAAAATGTTCTATAAGACTCTTGTTTTGATAAAACTAAAATAAAATTAAACGCCTTTAATCAGGGTTACGTCAAAAATACAAAACTTCTTGTGTACTATTATTTAAGATAACATGTTATGATGAAGTGTAAAATTGACGACGGCTGAATTGAATTGTTTTGTTATTTCTTAAAATAACTTTCATTAATTAATGAAATAAAAAATCATCTAAAACGTTGTTAATGTAACAAGAATCCGGTATCCAACATATTAATTGAGGAGGAAAATATGATATTCTCCTTATATGATAATATGATTATGCTTTGACACATTTCTATGATAAAGTAGTTCACAATATCTATAAAATTTATTTCACCAAAATATTGTAATTGTGAATAAAACCTCAAACAAAACTATACATTTTTATCATTTTAAGCGAGGTCTACCGTTATATTTCTGGATGAAAACCTATATTAACTTTAAAATGAGCAAGTACATACATTGGAAAAAGAAAACAAAAACAGGTTAAATATTTATAAAATTTCAATCTAATTTTCATTTGTATAAAATAAATAATATTCATATATAATTTTAATAACATTAAAAAATGACTACGATTTTTTTTAATACATAATTTAAATAAATATTACTTTAAATAATTTAAATAAAGATTCGTCAGTTCTTCTAAAAACATAAATGTGAAAACATTCCTCGGTCCTATACGGAGAAAATAAGGCATAAAACCAGTATATACTGTTAAAAAACCTTCACGGCGCGTAACTTTATAAATTACATCCACTGTTCCTTTATATAACGGTTTATCTGTTACTGTTGCCATATCCTGTATACGTGTTTTTGCAAAGTCCATTGGAGCTGTTACAAAAGCTGATAAAAATCCACATAATAATCCACAACAAAAGTGTAAAAATCTACTTTCTGGAATATTCAGGTTTTCTGTTAAAAACTCTTTGGTTTGATAATAGGTTCCTAATTGTACCATATTAACTATAATTCCACGATTGATTGTAGGTGCTGCTCCTCTAAATAATGTAAGAGCACCTTCCTCTTGTATAATTCTTTTAAAAGCATGAAAAACATTTCTGTAATTTCTTTGTTCTTCTATCGGTAATCGGCCATCCGCCGTCATTCGTATTAAAATAATTTCAGTAGGTGTACCAAGAAATGAACCTACAGCTCCGGCAATCATTCCCATAAATAACCTAGAAGCATAACCCGGTTTGGTTCCATACTGATTTTTATAAGTTTCTTCAAGATATTTATATGTACCAAATCTTCCACCGGTATATGTTAATTGCCGTAATAATGCAGCATCAAGTCCAGTATATATTCCTAAAATACCTTCTTTTGTTATAACTTTTCGAAAACAATCTATTGAACTTTTATAAATCTTCTTTTCGCCTTGAGTTTGCATACGAGTTTTAATCAAATCTACTGGTTGAACAATTACTGTAGCACCACAACCGGCTGTCGCTCCTAAAATACAATTTGTCACGCCTGATATTCTATTGTCTTCTTTGTTCTAAAAAGAAAAAAAAAGCATTCACAATATCTTACATGTATAAAATGAGAAAATATGTATGTGCAATATGTATAGCAATAATTATAATTTCATATATGTATGTATGTAGATAATTGATATGGAATTCTGTCCCTTCTTTTTAAAAAATTTCTTTAAAGTAGTCATCATAAAATTTTTTGTACACAAATTTAGGCATATTAAAGCCTCGAAATTAGAACTAAGTTCAATGACCGATATTAAATTGCGCATATAGGTCATTGTCACTCTAAATCTAATATAGTAGTACCTTTTTAATAATTTATTGAGTATTCATTGAAATAATGCTCTTTTATTCCACTTACCGCCATTCTAAAGCGTATCAATATTATGTTATGTTTACAAATTCAATTTACGACCAAAAGAAAACAGAATTAATATATGCCGGAAAGAAACAATAAAATATTTTCAGATGAAATCAAAAAATTATAAATATGAATCGGCAAAAAGTAAACAAAAGACTGCTACAATGTTATTAAAAATCAGCTGTTAACAAAACGTGCTGATTCATTTATTTTGTTGGGCGACATCTATTGCAAAATAAAATTTATGGGAAATAAATCAAAATAGCATTGCCATATCATATTTATCCTCAAGTTGAAATTTTGTGTAAGAATTCAAAACTACTAGTAACTGGTTGAAACAAATAGGAATATTTTCTATATTAAATCTACGCTTGGCATAACAAAAATATCATAACATTTCTGTTCTGTAATTTTATCAGCCGTGTATCTACATATGCATATCTTGTGAGTTTTTACAATTATATGTGGGTTGGGAACCTACATAATATGAAATCTCAATTGTATTAAGAAAAATTCCAATAAATGATATTTAATATTGTAATTAGAAGCTTATATTAATGGAAATATAATGTGTCAGTGTTTCAAAAATGGAATTAAGTAAGTGGAAATAAATTTTTTTATGAAATGTACTTATTTTATGAAAAATACTTAAATATTGAAGAGAAGTGGTTTTTAACAAGTAAAACAAAATAACGGAACTATAAGTGCTATTAATATTATAATACTTCCACAGAATTTTACAAAATGTTTATATTTTATTATTGCAATAATAACTAGTTGGATACTTGAATGATAATGCAATTTTCGATTACGATCACTATCTATTTGTAACAATTTCATATTTAAAAGTAAAACTATTTACAAAATGATATCAATTGTAAACCACTGCAAATTGGAAACTATAAAAAAGAAGCGACACCACGATAGAATTCGATTACAATTTCTAAAAACGTTGAAAAAAGTTGTGTTTTTTAAAAAGGTAAAATTAATTTAAAAAATGTACAAAATTTTGCTTACTTTATGTTTAGTTGCTTTTGTTGCAACTTCACCAATTATTAAAGAGATCAATGATGATCTTAAAGTTGATATAACTGTAGTTGAAGATATTGAAGAATTCAAAAATACTCATCCATCACTTGAATTGACTCCACTTTTTAGTGATGAATTGCAAGAATCACCATTTGGTGTAATTCGTCATACAGCTGGCAGCAGAGTTGCAGGTAAAAATTTTTTTGCATGTGTACATACATAACATGTATAAAGTCAATTTTATTTTGAATTTTAGGAGATAGACTAGTTGCAAGTGGAAGCGGTGGACAATCATGGGCAACACCACAAGATGTTCAATTATCATTACAATATCCAAAGAGTGGAACTGGTGCCGTACTTTCATATGTTGAAGTACTTGTTGATCAAAGTTCTAATGTTGGAGAAGGTTTTATTATTAGCGGTGGAATAGGACAAAGGCATATTGCGCTTGTTATTCAAGCTAGATCTACAACACATTTTAATTATGCAGCAGCTTTCTATGGTGTATAAATATCTAACCGCTAATTTTTGATTCAAATATGGTTTTTGTATAGAAAAAAAATAAATAACTATGTAAAAATAATGTGAATATTAAATCAAATTTTTATTTAAATAGGTAAGTATAAAGTATCAAGTATACAGCTTGAGGGGTGTGTTCGAATGACCAGATTTGTGTCAATACTAATCATAAGGAGCACATATTTGATCATTTTATTGAGATAGAGAAAATTTTGAAAAAAGCAAAAATAATTTTGAGTTTTTTAACAGTATTTGCTAATATAATATTAATTGTTCAAGTCCTTAAATATGGAAGAGTCTTACTTTAATAGATTTAAATATTTAAATTACATTATGTATATAGAGCAATGGACGTGTTATTATTATTATTATTATGTACGTAATAATATATGTAAATATGAATTGATATATGTAATCTGTTACTGATTTGCTTAGGGAAGAATGAGATTGATAAGATAACCTAATATGTATTAGGTTCGATTAAATGAAGTTAATTTTTTTTTCAATTATTTCAACGGAAGAATAAAAAGCTAAGAATTCGCCTTTTGAAAAAAAAAAAAAAAACAGCATTTTCACAAAATTGAACTCATACAGTAAAAAAACAAAATATTCCTTTGAATTAAATAAATAATATTTTTTTTTATTTTTGTTTTATTATTAATTAATTACGTACAAACTAAGCCAACAACATTTTCATAATATAAATAACTATTTGCCTAATAACCATAAATTTCAGCTGTATAATGGAAATGTGAGGTAGAACGTGCTTGAATTACAAATGTAACAAATCTTTGGCCAATTCCTCCTGCAATAATATAACCTTCTCCAATATTAGAGCTTTGATCAACAGTTACTTGAATGTAAGAGACTATTGCACCAACTCCACTTGTTGGGTATCGGAGTGTAAGTTGAACATCTCGTGGAGTCGGCCAATTTTGACCATCTTGACCTCTTGCAACTAATCTATCACCTTAACATCGTGTGAAGAAAAAAAAAATGAAGATTTAATTTATATTCAAATTTTACTCACAATTTTATGTTTGTTTTAAAAGTTACCTGCGACTCTTCTGCCAGCTGAATGACGAAGAATACCTAACGGAGTTACTTCTGCTTTCAATGGAATCAATTCAAGTTCGGCATAAGCTTTTTTGAATTCCTCAATATTTTCTACAACTAACAAATTTACTTTAATATCATCTTTAGCATTTTTGGCTGGTGATGATACGGCAGCAGCAATTAAACATAAAGTAATTAAAATTTTAAACATTTTTAAAAGTTATTTGAAAAAAAAATGTTTTTGATTTAGAAAATTCGACTTGTTTTGAAGGTTTCTAAAATTGAACTATGCTTTGATGTTTAAATTTTTCTTCTTATATAGCAAATGAGTCTAGCGATATTTTTCATTTACACTCACAATTGGTTTGAAATAACAATTAATTAATCGAAACGTAGATTTATCTAAATTATTTGGAAAATTGTGTGCCAAAATCTTATCTTTTTTAGAAGAAAGTATTAATTTTACATTTATGGTAATTTTAGATTTTTAAAGATTAGTTCTAATCTATAGCAATTAAAATATTTCCTGTTTAAAATATGTACAATTTTTTGATTTATAATTTATAATTAACAGGCCCATTTTAATAGATAACATGTACTAAAAATCTTTTATTAGTTTAATGAAAATGATGAATCATTTTTTAGCTTTAATTCTGTTAATACAACTTTCTATATTTTGAATAAAATTTTAATTCTTCGATAAGTACCATAATATAATATATTTATCAAACATGTACACACAAATGTACATTTATTAATAGGGTATATATTTATAATACAATTAGCATGGAGAGAATTACTCAGAAATTAATGTATAATATTGCGATAATAATAATTTTATATGTAATCATAAGTACACGTTTTACTTTTTTTGATAAGGAAAAAGGGTCAAGTATTTTCAAATTCTAAACACATTCATTTGAATTGTAAGTACGTGCAACTATACAATAATCATTATTGGTAAAATTAAAATCCTTTCTAAAGCCTAATTTAAATATTCATAGCATAGAGGCCACATCTGTAGATTTTAAAAATGGTAACAAGATGATGGCATTCATTTCGAATGCCAAGTTTTCGGCAGGAATGTACTTTTGCATCCTACGTCACGGGAGTGTTAATTTCTCATTTTAAAAGAAATTATGTCTGTCTGTCGGTGCACTTTTGTATCTCAAAATCGATTGAACGGTTTTTATCCAAATTTATGTCTCAATAAATTACCGTCCCGGTATTGGATCAACTTTTTGGATATGTTGGGTCTCAGGATCTGAACTTTTATAACGAGTCGATTTAACGTTTACGACTTTTTTTAAGAAAACAGTGAATTTTCCTGAAATTTTATTTATGTATGCAATCTATCTGACAATACAGTAACTCAATTAACTTTTTGAGGAAATCAGGTAATATTATATGTATACAAATAATTGCTTTATCTCTATATTACACATTTTTTTGGAATCTAATTAATGTATTTACAAATTTAAATTTTTTGTAGGCACGGAAAGCCTCGGAATTGTACTACAAATAATTGTTGAAGTCTAAATGTAGTAAGAAAAATTTTGAGTTTTTCCAAACTAATACCAGAAATGGTATGTACGGTTACACAACAAGCACTGATTAAAACTAATTCAAGTCTTTACCCTAATTCAATATTTGAAATAAAATAATTAGTATCTCAGAATACTGTAAATTGATTTAAAGTAATTTGAATCATTACGGAATTTTATAATTTATTGATTGCGAATAACAAATTTAAACTAAAGAATAATAAGTTTATATTTTAATAAACAATTAAAATATATGTACTTATACATAAATGTTATGCATATGTAAATTTTTGTATAATTCTCTCGTAACATAAAAAACTGAAAGAATTTTAATATTCTACTTTACAATCCTGAAAACTGAAACAATCCTAAATCTAATAATTGACGTCAAATTAAATTTAGTTTATCAAACCTAAAAAAATATTAAATTATCACAAAATTGCCACCACAAAACTTCAACAAATTTTTAAATTCTTAATTTAGAATTGTTAAACTGTACGGACATATTCGCTATTTATTTATTTATTTACATAAAAAAAAAAACTAAAGGCCTCAACACTATTAAGGTAGGCTCAGAAATGTAGTTATAACCAGTATAAACCAGTATGTAGTTATAATTGCATAATATATTTTCTTTAAAAAATTAATAATGTTTATATATTCGTCATAGTTATCATCAGATAAAACTTGAAGGCCGGTTATTTTGAAAAGACTTCTTTCATTAATATATTTACGAAAATTTAGTTTATTTGTTTTTGTGAAGATATATGAATGGGTAAATGGTAAATGGCTATGCCTAAGTTGAGTTATTATTATTGAATCCTTTCTTAGAAACTTTAGGTCTTTCCAGTTTAGCATTTTATTTGTGATTTTTTTTAAATTTCTCCGCATGAGTTGACTCTCTCCAGTTTTCAGTTCATTTAGACACTATATTAGAAGTAACTATTGTTTTTAGATCCAAATAAATTTGGCAGTAGTTTGGTAACATAGGTTCTTGAACGGAATTTATTGCTATTTTATCAACATCCTCGTTGCCTTTAATATTACCATGTGATGGATTCCACACAAAGTTGAAGTACTTATTGGAATTGTATATTTTTTCTTGTATTCGTCGGGCCGCGGGATGAATTGGATTCATTTTATAAATTAATTTAAGTGCACTTAGTGAATCTGAGCATAGCACTTTTTTACCAATTGATACTGTACCTGAGTATTCAATAGCGGTAAATTTCGGTAAGCGAAATTTGTTCTCGATTTCGTCATATTTAAATGCACAACCAGTATTCTGTTGCATTGAGAAACCATCTGTGAAAATAATGTCATGGTCATAGAATTCGATGTTGATTTTTTCTAAAAAAATCCTTTTGAAATAATTTATTTGAATTTATTATTCGGTTTTCTTACATCTTCGCTATTAATTAAGTGAATTTTTTTTTAGCTTTGACTTAAATCATTATCTTCAATTAATGTATTCTTGCTGACGTCTTTCTGATTTTTGTAACTTAACCAAAAAAAAATTGAAATTTTGTAGGTTATTAAATTAAAACATGTTATTTGCAATATGCATAATTATTTTTTTTTATTTTTCTATTAGTATAATTTTCAATTAAAAAATTTCTTTCATTACATACTAAGACAACATATTCTAAAATATAAATAACAATAAGTATTTGTCTATTCTAATAACCATATATTTCAGCTGTATAATGGAAATGTGAGGTAGAACGTGCTTGAATTACAAATGTAACAAATCTTTGGCCAATTCCTCCTGCAATAATATAACCTTCTCCAATATTAGAGCTTTGATCAACAGTTACTTGAATATAAGAGACTATTGCACCAACTCCACTTGTTGGGTATCGGAGTGTAAGTTGAACATCTCGTGGAGTCGGCCAATTTTGACCATCTTGACCTCTTGCAACTAATCTATCACCTTAACATCGTGTGAAGAAAAAAAAAATGAAGATTTAATTTATATTCACATTTTACTCACAATTTTATGTTTGTTTTAAAAGTTACCTGCGACTCTTCTGCCAGCTGAATGACGAAGAATACCTAACGGAGTTACTTCTGCTTTCAATGGAATCAATTCAAGTTCGGCATAAGCTTTTTTGAATTCCTCAATATTTTCTACAACTAACAAATTTACTTTAATATCATCTTTGGCATTTTTGGCTGGTGATGATACGGCAGCAGCAATTAAACATAAAATAATTAAAATTTTAAACATTTTTAAAAGTTATTTGAAAAAAAAAATTCTTTTTAATTTCGAAAATTTGACTTGTTTTGAAGGTTTCTATAATTGAACTATGCTTTGATGTTTAAATTTTTCTTCTTATATAGCAAATGAGTCTAGTGATATTTTCGGTTTGCACTCACAATTAGTTTGAAGTAATAATAAATTAATCGAAACCCAAATTTATCTAAATTATTCGGAAAATTGTGTCATTTTTGAAAGAAAGTAATACGAGTATTACTTTTCAAAACTTGTATTTGGCCTAATCTAAATATACATACATATGTACACTTAAGATATTTTGTTTGATATTTCCGTTGAAATAATTTGATAAGATTTTAATATTGTAATTAAATTTTAATGATTAATTTTTACGTTAAGAACGAAAGACATTTTATTACCCAAATATTATTCAAATGGATATCATTAATCTAGATAAGAAAATCATTAGAAATAATAAATTAAGTATTCTTTTCATTTTTTTTATTTGGAATTCTTAAATCCTAAAATCAAATTTTTGATGTATGGAAATGACATCCATAAGAAAATATTTCAATTTTTATTATTTATTTTTCCATTAATAATATTCATATTTAATTTTTTTATAAATAATTTTTAATATTTTAATCGAATGAATAACATTAATGAAAATTCATCTACAATTGCAAATTTTATAATAGGTGGCCTTGCTGGTACAACAACTTCTACCATATTATATCCAATTGATTTTATGAAAACAAGAATGAGCATTGAAGGATCTCAAAATCATTATCGCAGTATGTATGATTGTTTTAAAAAAATTAAACGTAAAGAAGGCTTCTTAACACTATACAAAGGGATATCGGCATTATGGTTAAGACAAATAATATATTCTAGTACAAGAATCGGAATATTTATAACAGTAGAAGATATATTTAAAAAACGATATCATCATGAGACACCAAATTATTCTGAACATTTATTTTCAGCTATTATAGCTGGTATTGGTGGTTCATTAGCTAGTACACCATTTGAGGTGATTTTAACAAGAATTTCAATTGATGGCAGATTACATAAATGTGAACGAAGAAATTATAAAAGCATATATGATGCATTTAAGAAAATTACAAAAAAAGAAGGTTATTTAACATTATGGCGTGGTGGTTGTTTATCAACTGTAAGAGCAATAGCTACAAGTATAACACAATTGGCAACATATGAGACAAACAAAGAGAAATTATCTAAAAAATATAATTTAAATGATGATTATTTATTGCATTTTTATGCAAGTATGTTTTCCGGTCTCTTAACATCAATTATAACAACACCATTAGATATTATAAAAATTAGATTACAAAGTATGAAAGTGATTAAAGGTAAACCATTAAAATATACGGGAGCATTTGATACTTTTAGAAAAATTTTAAAAAATGAAGGTTTCAAAACATTTACTAAAGGTTTTTTACCAGATTATTTAAAAATTGGTCCACACACTGTAATATTATTAATGACTATGGAACAATTTAATGAAATTTATAAATTTTTAAAAAAATATTAAATTATTGAATTATTAACAATTGAAATTCGGATTGGTTTCTATAAATTTAGAGAAGAATACTGCAAATTTGCATGTATGTAGGTAAGTTTTTTTTGCACTTATAAATCATCATTGATTTGCCATTTATTATTTCTATGTTTTAGGTAGTCATTTCGTTGGGCCCAATTTTTAGCCATACAATTACTGTAATTTACAAACTATTTGCATATGCATTTACTTTTTACATGAGGAAGGATTTGAAAACAAAAATAAAAGAAGCAATAAAAATATTTTTTTTTTTCACTTAATATTAATTACTATATTATTGAAATCATATTATTGGAACGACCTTTAAGATAAGCTCATTGCATTTATTTAATCTTTAATAACTAAATGGAATACAAATTTCTGATGCACATACTCGTATGTAAGTTTATCGTGACACTATTAACATTATATTGTATAGATTATTATAATTATTTTAAAATTATATTTCTTGTACATATACGAGTATCTACATATTTTCATTATCTATTACGCTTTCGCGGTTTTAAACAATAGCAGACAACATATTTGGTATATAACAAACCAAAAATTAAAAAAATTAACACTAAAGTAGTTTTAAGTTAAAAATCGTGTACATACCTAAATATAAATTACAACATATTTTATGATTTTTATACTGACTCGCTCTTATTATACGCACTTAACAATAAAATTCAAAAAAGAAAAAAAATACAATCTATAATAATTGTTTTAACTCTTTTGTAATTTGTCATTTTTTCGGGCTATTACTTAAAGGTGAAATAGATTATTTTTGTATGTACTTTTTTTTATACTTACTACTCGCAGTGTAATCGTAAGATTTAATAATGAAATCAAATTATAATTTTAACAATAATATATAAATTGTGATGTTATACGATTGTTATCATTCATACTCATATATGTATAGCTTACAGTCTTAATTTTCATAAATTATTTTAAATTGTTTCCATATTTATGTTAAGTTTATTGTTATATAGATAAATATGAAATTCATTTAATTTTAACATTCTTAAATTTCAATTTGATATTTTTTTTTTTTGGGTTAAAAGCCTTATGATATATTTGTTCATATAAATGTAATTTGTATTTTCAATCTTAGCATAATCTGTGCCAATATTGGAAAATCAAAGCCCGCTAATGAATTGCAAAAAAAATATTTGATATTGCAAAATAAAATTGATTGCCTAAACATATTGCAATATTAAAATTTTTCATATTTAAATCTAAAATACAGGAAATTTTAGTTTGATTTGCAAGGAAATATTCTAAAGTAATTAGTGAGCAAAATTTTTGAGCCAAAAAATTTTGCAATTTACATATAGGAGAAACTGAATTATTTTATTTTTTTATGTTTTTCAAAGTTTAAAAATTAATAATTTTAACCATTTTTGTTCCATTTTTTTTTAAAGAAATCGAAAATAATGTCTGTAAGGTCCAAGTTAAGAAATTAATTGTATTTGAAATATAGGCGAATTGAAAAAGTGAAAAATAATTAATTCTCATCAACTTTGATTTATTTTCTTAATTGCAATTCAAATTTATTATTTCAAATCTCAAAATAATAGATTTACAACATTTATTTGAATAATTTTACAAATAAGATTTCATGTTATTATTTAAATTTTTTTATTTTAAAAATATATGCTTTCCATTTTATTTAGTAATTTTTGTAATTTTTTCCCACCACTCGTCTCCTCTTCTAAATTCAACTTAAAATATCTTAATAAATATAAAAATTAAAATATAAAAAAGACAAGACAATAATGAATATAATTTCAAATAACTCACATATGCATGACCATCTTGTAATCCAAAACGGAAACAAAATATTACAAAATCTAAAATAATTTACAAAATAAATATGTACATATATAAAAATATTATTTAATTAATAGACCAAATCAGAAGCAAACATATATAAAGACGTGTACATGTTCAAAAAATAATTATAAATCTTAAAGTAAAATGCAAAAAATACAATTGTGTAGAGTAGATATTTGTAAAATAATTATTACATAACTTTTGGTTAACCAAAATTTTTTGTTGAACTCCTTCGAAAAAAAAAATTCAAAACCTTGAATTGAATTTTTGAATATTATTATTATTTTTTATCACATCCTGGCTGATTAAAAATAATTTTTTTTTTTTTTTTAGTAAATTTTATATAAAATACAATAGAGCTGACATGGAAGATGTAGATAGAATAATATTCATAATGAGCATAAAATGTGCATTAAGCAACTCATAAATGTTGGTTGCTGAGTATTCGTATTGGAACAATTAATGTATGTAAAAAATTATTAAATAATTACAAAATTAAAAGTTCTAGATTGTAATTTAATAAAATATGAAGGGTGCATAATGTTAAAGAATTTGTTTTTTAGGTAATTATTAAAATTAATGTACCGATAATTACAAAGTGCAATTTGAAATCTTTTAATTAAATTCTTGCAATTACTTAACATTAATATTTACACGACTATGAAGTGCTTTAGCAGGAATTGCGTTATATCGCTAATTGAAAATTTTCATAAAGAGAAAGAAAACATTTGTAGTTACTTTTAAGTCCAAAAAATGCCGAATTTTAAAACAGCCTCAAAACCTCATCTGCAGTCAAATTTAAGTTTCTTGGCTTGGTTCATAAAATGTTTTTGTATAAAACAGCGAGTTTATTCTCAAATTCATTTACTTACGCTAACAATTTTGTGTTAATTTTTGAAGAAGTAACAAACCGCCAGACACTTGTCTTCTGCTATGATGTTTTTCACCATTTCTATAATTTTGCAGCCTCTTCCGTGAGTACTTCTTTGTTAAATAAATTCAGACATACATTCAAATATTAATGATTCATTATAATATAAATTCAATATCAAATTTTCTATAACAGTATAACACTTTTCATATATAGCTAATTGGCCTTTTTACTTTCACAATAACTATGTATTTTCTGTAAAGTTCAAGGTGAATTCAATTTTTTTAATTGTTCATTAAAATTGATTCAAGCATACATAAAATAGAAGCAAAAACAACATTGTAATAAAATTAATAAAATTTTCTTTTTAAGCCAAATATACCACAAGAATAATCTACAAATTAAGTGACATAATAATCTGTTAAAGAAAATGAAAAAGAAAAAACCAATATTATTGCAATAATTTTTAAAAGGTGGGCACAAAAATGTTTTCGGGCCTAAAAATTTTACTTTGTATTTCAACACCCTCGCAATTTTTGATTTTTTTTTTAATTTTTCTTAGTAAATATGGAATAGTCTTTTTTTATCTGAACACAAATAACATTAAGAGTGTCAATTAAAAATTGAAAAATTTAATTAAGAAACAATTTTCGGATTATTGAGTTGAACATTCAACATATACATATACATATACAAAGAAATTTTGTCAATATAATCAAAGATCAATTTAATTAGTAAAACGACTATATAGAAATAATATGATAAAAATAAAAAATTAAGATTAAAATTTATAAAAATTTTATTATAAATTTTTTCGTTTTTAACAATGGACCCTAAGTGTATTGTCTTTATATACTCAATAATCGTTTTAATCGGTTGGTGTCTAATTGTGAATTTTAATTTATAAAAAAAAAAATAATCAGTTTTGATTTAATTCATTCACTTCATTATTTTGAAAGTAAGGCAAAAATGAAATTAAACGGTTTAAAAACACATGTGGTATAAATTGTAATATGTGAGTGGGCAATGTCCGGATATGGCAGCACTGAAAGAAAAAACAAATATGTATTATAATTTTGAATAGATAACTGTTTTCATTACGATAATGATGATAAACGCAAATATACATATACATAAATATTTATATGCATGTAGGCATAAGAAAGTATGTCTAAACCTTGGAGAAATTAAACAGCAATAATTGAGAAAAATTAATATAAAGAAATTAAGTTAAAATTAGTAACGAGCTAGGTGCCTAATCTCTAATGTCTAAAAAGGAGTCGCGTTTGCTAACACCGGACCAAAAACAACAACGAATTGATGATTCTGAGGCATGTCTGGCCCTATTTCACCGTGATAAAAAGAATTTGCGCCGCTACGTCACAATTTGGAAGAAACATAGATCCGCCATTTTGCTTTTAAGTCAAATCGACAGTCGGCTGGATTGGACACCACCCGGTGAAAGCCGCCCAAAGCGCCCAAAGATTCAACCCTCTGCTGGCAAGGTTATGGCTTCCGTATTTTGGTATAGTCATGGTATATTCTTCATTGATTATCTTGAGAAAGGTAAAACGATCAACAGTGAATATTACATGGTATTATTTTAACGATTGAAGGGCGTAATCGTAGCCTGTAACGATTGAAGGCTGTAACATCAAGAAGAAAAAATTCTTCTTTATCAAGACAACGCATCGGGTGACACGTCAATGCAAACGATTGTAAAAAGGAATGAATCGCACTTCGAATTGCTGTTTCATCTACCATACTCGCTTGATTTAGTCCCCAGCTATTATTGGCTGTTCTCAGATCTCAAAAGTGTCTCCAGGGAAAGAGATTTGAATCGAAGGAGGAGGTCATCGCCGAAGCTGAAACTTATTTTGAAGGATAAGATAAATCGTTCTACAAACATGGTATCGAAAAGTTAAAGAAGCGCTGAAATGTATCGCCATAAAAGGAGACTATGTTGACGAATAAAATCAAATTATGTTAAAATGTTGTAGTTTTATTAGCCATCCTACGGACTTATTGAGCGATGTTATAAGAATCAAATTTTGCAATCTATTTTAAGCCAGTTTTTTTTAGTGTGCAAGTATTGGCATAGACTTTTAAGTCGGATTAGAAAAGTGTTCTTCTAAATTGATTCTTAAGGTAATTTTGTTCGATGTTAATCAGTAGTAAAATTAGTTCCAATAATATTCTATAATACTTTTTAAACGTCTTATGTATTTGCAATAAAATTTTTAAAATTTAAAGTATTACATAGAAGTTATAAAAATTATGTTAACATCATTTTATGTTTCCAATAATATGTTTTATGCGGATTATACCAAAAGTAGATTATGTATAAATATTTTTAAATTATGTTGTACAATTAAGTTAAAAATTTGTATAAATATTTTGTATATTGAAACTTACATTATTGAGAATAATATGTTTTAGTTTTAGAGGCATTACCAAAAATTTGATTTTAATATAGCGTATTATACTTACCTAAAATGGAAATTAATATAAATCATAAAAACTTTTATTTCCTATATTAAATTTGTAGATTAAAAATTTAAAATATTTTTGAAAATTACAAGAGAATTTCAAATTTTTCAATATATGTATGTATGCACTATATTGTGCGCATATCTAGAAATAAATATGGAACAGAAATTAATGATCATAAATCATATATGGGTTGTGTATATTAGTTGAAAATGTGAAAACTTTTTGTTATTAACCATAAAATTAAGAATCTGTAAATCTAAGTTTAATCGGACTAGCAAATATTTGGTATTTTTGTTTTGAATGTCATGAAATATTTCGGTCGTCCTCAAAATTGTAGCGCATTATATTGCAGATAGAATGTACATTTACTGTACATAGAATTTTAAAAATTTAAACGAATACCGCAATTATTGCGAATAATACAATTATTGTACAAATTTAAACGAATACAAATTTCAGTGAAAAATATTTAGCAATTTTTTATATTCGGAAAACGTCAAAATTTGTTTTGTATCATTTTATATATACAGATATAGAGATCCCATATACATGAGTAAAAATAATTAAAAGAATCGTTCGATTATTGTTCTTCAATTTATTTTTTATATATGCGAATCTATTCTATATACAGATACTTAAATAGTAATGTAAACTTGTAACAGCTTTTATTATATAGCTATTATAGCTCAAAATTGCTTAATCTTCAAAGAATTAATTTACGATATTAATTTATATAATCTTATATGTATTATTATTTTATTAAATTTTTTCCAAATTTGTAAAGTTTAAGGACAACTTTATATTATATATTTACATTTAATCATGGTATTATCCAATTTAAAGAATATTTATGAGTGGGTTTATCATAATGAATTTCTAAATCAACATTTATATTTATGATATTTGTGCACATATACACATGTATACGATATAACGTATTCTTTTGAAAATTTGTTCTATTATACGTATAACCATCAATATATAAAATTGAATATTTTTGTTGTATGGAATTTCATTTGAAATATTATTATTTTATTTTTTTTTCGATATTTTATGCAAAATTTATGTAACAGGTGTTAATTTATTTTTCCGCGTTCCTAAAAGAAAATCAAATAATAATATAAAAAGTTACTAATTGGAATTCTTTTTCAATTCATTATTCATTTTTTTTTTCAATTATTCAAAATGGTTAAAATGAATTTTAACCCTATAGAAGGGATCAAAAATACTATGTGCATATTGTTCCTTAAAATCTTTAATTTTATGCATAGCAAACAATTATTTTTACGTATGCTTAAACGATCCCTGCGAAGTAAAAATTGCAGTAATACGGTGCGTATTCATATAAACATTTTAACAATTCATTATAAGTTGCAATTTTGAGCTCCGGGGATATTATTTCTAACTTTTTATAAATGGAGCTTTATGAAAATATTAAAAATAATTTCTTATGCCTATTAAATTTACTAAAAATTCTTACTTTAAACCACATTTTTAATGATTTCTAACCATTTATCATTTCAAGTATATGGAAGCAATTACACCGCTATGTATACATAATTAAAATATCTCACATAATGATTAAAGTGTCAAAGGTTTTAATCTTGTCATTACTTTTGTTTTTTTTTCTGCCCTTAAAATGATTTTCCGTCATTTAAGATAATTTTACATGTAAATTTATACATATATAATGTGCATGACCTTTTTGTTTGTCTGACAGTATATTTTTGAGTTTTTCACATACGCTTCGTACATATACATACATATATATATGTATATATTATGTACCAATAATTTATTGTGATTATAGAGTTTCATTTTATATTTTTCATAATGATTTATCGTTATTATGCTTTTATTTTTTTAATTTCACTTCAAAATTTTGATAATTTTAAAGTGAGCATTTAAAATTTTTTACTAAAATTTTAGTTTCTATCTATACCATTTATTGCAAACATTTTTATTTCCATGATTTAAGGGATTGGAATGATTGTAGAATAAATTTAAGAAGTTCTTTGATTGTTGACATTGTTAATGCAAAATTGAGTCTCATGCGAATTATTAATTATCTAAAATATAAAAAATACAGAGTACACGAGACTCGATGGTACTCCCGAAGCAAAGTAATAAAATATGTTCAGACGAACAAGAAACACAAAAGTGACATTTTCCTTTTTGAGTTCACTTTTTCGAGCTATAAGGCCTGGGTGTTGGGCTTTCTGAGAATAATTGGAATAAAAACTGCTAAAATAGTGTTATAAAATGATGAATCCTTATAGAAATCCATACAGAAGACACCATTTCAGCAGTTGTTATTCTATATACTTGCTAAATTTCAGTAGGTACTGTTATAATAAAAAACAAATTTTTAATAGTTTATGCAACAATTTTACAACTCGTTACTAAAAGATTTAAAAACACTGTAAAATTTGTTTGCATATTATTTTTTTAATTGTTTTCGAACACGATTTTTATTTTTAAAGGAGTTAAGAGAACTTACCGTTTATAAGATTAAAATTACATATTTAACTTTTTTTTCTTTTACTGTCTTTTTTTTGTTAAATTATTGAATTTTTTTTTTTAAAAAGTTATTTCTAAATTTTTTTTATTCTATTTTAAATGCACGAGTTTAAGTATTTTGATCACGAATTTTTCTATGAATAATTTTTATGGGCACAAAATAATAATAATATGTCCATTGCCCATACATTATATACGAGTATGTGACGTAGTGTACAATTTACATAATATCAAATATCTTATACTTTATAATAAACTCTTAATCATATTTGAATTTTTAAAGTCATATTTCTTCTTTCAGTTTGTAATTCGGGTATGAACAGTTTTTTGCTATGAAAAAGTTAAGGGGCTACAACTGATCAGTAATCTAATTAGTTAAACTAAAAATTTGCCTTTTGTACTTGGAATGATTTTGCATATAGGTACATATTATCTGTCGTCGTAATTAGGAAATTCGACTATCTGCAGAAACTTATTTCGCCAGAAATCGCAATTAAATATTTACTTACTGTGCTAGTTAATAAAATTGAAATAATTAAAATAAAAAATTTTAAGCAATTTAATACGTAAAAAAGCATATTTAGTTTTCACAATCAAAAGAAACGTTTTTTTAGAGTGTTATGCAACTTTCTAGTATTTTATAGAATAGATAAATCTTCTTTAAAATAGTAACTTGTAAACTGAAGTGCAATGTTATACGAACATTATATTCCAAAATAAAACTTAATTATTATAACAATGATATTTAAAAATTATATGCAAAATGCTCCGCCTATATACCTACCTGTATTTCAATATTGACCGTTACTTAAAAATGATATATGCACATACATATGCACCTGCACATACATACAATTTAAATTTAAACTTAATTCTATTGTGTCAAATATAAAGAACAATTAAAATATCAGTATATCACCAATCACAGACATAAAGGCCCCATTGATTCAAGTCATTTTTATTATTATGAATTGTTATACACACAATTACATTCTACCTACCACCAAACTTTACATAAAATTATAAACGAATCGCTGAAATTCTTAAGCGATTATTGAACTTGATTGGAATGACCTTTTGTAGGTGCATTGTGTACAGGTACACACAATTATTATTTTATAAATTATCTAGCACATAATAAAGAAGTTTATTTTTTTGTTGTTTTAATTTTTTATTTTCAATATTTTCGAAGATAATTTAAAGCGGAACAAAATTAAAAATAAAATAAATAAATGAATAAAAAAAAAAAAAGAATTTATTTCTTGACCCAGAATTTCTTTTGATTTATTATCTTTTTATAAAATCTTAAAATTATTATTATTACATACACATGTATATGTGTATATAGCTGGTATTCATAAATTTAAATATATGTATAAGTAATTTTTAAATATCAATTTTCATATCTATATTTCTTTAATCTCTATTCACATTTTTTTTTTTTTTTTTGAAAATAAATAATTTATGAATTTATAAAAAATATAATTCAAATATTGACTTTTATTCTTATATTGTAGTTATTATTATGGATATCAGATGTCACAACTTGCAATTAATTTTACTCAATTATTATTGTTGATGGTAAAGGTAATTTTATAAACTGTTATAAATTTTTGTTTTTACATTGATTAATAAAATAAAAATAATAATAAAAAAAATTTTAGGGAGTTCGAAACCCATCAGTTTAGATCTCACAACAAAGTAGTATGGAATTGTTTTCTAGAATTCGTGGAGCCGATATCAAAAAATAGAGTAATTTTCATGTAGAAGGTGGATCATAGATGCGAAGAGAGGCACAAGATTGCCGGCGAATTGGTATACTTCAGTTACTATTTTTCCTTAATTATACCTATAAACATAATTAGGTATTTCGGGGGGTCTATCTTAAAGTTAATTTATATTCTTAAAATACATAACCTTTTGAGTGCATACATGCTCCTCTTTTGTCCAGTAATATTTTAAAAATGATATCGTTTGTAAATTATCTAATTAGTTTACTTTTAACTCTCGAGAGCGAATTTAAACTCTTTTCGTGCAAATTTAAGGACAAGAGACAAAAGTGGCATATGTGTGCACTCAGCGTCCCTAAAAAATAAGTGTGCACCCAAAAGGTTAATTAATAAAATTCATTTCTAATTTAAAACTTCTTCTTTTACAATTATTAATAATTACTAAAATACTTCCTTTGTTTTAATTCCTTCCTTTACTTTAATAACATATAATATGCACATTTATCACACTTTAATTATTCCACAATATTAAAATAACATTCTTAATGATAAAGAAATTTGTAATTTATTTTTAACCAATAATTTGTAAGCCTTTTGTGTTAATTACAAAACTAAAAAATATTACACAAATCCAAAAATTTTTACTGCAAATTTCTAAAATATTTTATAGGTAAAAAATATTAAATACATAGTTTAACTAATTTACTATTATTCAATTTATTTTTTTTCTTTTAAATTATCTTCGCTAATTATTACTGTAATCTAACATACTTTTACTTTCATTAAAATCTAATTTTTACTTTTTAATGAAAAAACCAAAAAAAAAATCACCATCTGTTTAAAATTAGTTCCACATTTGGTAATACAATAGTCGATTACATTATAACTTTTGCTACTAAGCAATAACTAATGTAGACAAAAACCACCAAGAAATATCATTAATTTCCTTCATTTTTAAGCTGCCATACTTGCCTAGTATATGTATATCTACATATACACATAAATTGGTGCCGGTAATAGTTTATTTTTTTCTTTTTCAATTCGTTTTTTTTTCCGACAGGTATTTCCCATGATTATATAAGGATTAAAAATTCTCAGTATCTTAAAAATAAACTAAACCGCAAATTAGAAATAAACCGTAATAAAAAAAAGGTCCTCTCGGGAAAAGATTAAATTTTTACCTCCATCACATTTTCCTAAGTGTAATGTAATCCTTTTTATAAATTTTATAAAAAATTTAATGTTCGTTTTTTTTTACTTTTTCGCTATTCATTTCATAATACTAATAACTTTTTTAACAGTGAAAATTTAGAAATATTGTTTTCCAATCTTCCGCTAATTTTTCTATGGATAAAACGTTATATACCTACATGCAAAGAAATTCGCAAAATCAACCTTGAACTTATTACGCCGCCGCTAAGAAAACTTATGTAAGAGAAGAAAAAAAATATCAAAATTCAGCTGTTACAAAAAGAGAATAAAAATTATTTAAATTAGCGAATACACAAATTGCCTGTGCCTGCCTATGCATTGTGGTAACGCCGGCGTCATTTTACTCAAATTAAAGTTCGCGACATGATCAAATTGCTTTCCTTACTTTTACATCTAACTTAATAGCAACATAATTTGTACGAGTACTCATTTGTACATGGGTACAATGTATTAATGTAGGTACATCGTGATCAAAATACTTATTTCGTGCTCATCTCTTATTTTTTTCTCATTTTCCCATTTTTTTTTTCCGTTTTATACAATACAATTTTAATTCCACATATTTTTTTTGTTATACATTTAGTTTATGCCTTAATAGATATTCTCTCTATAGTTTTGCCGAAAAATCTCATGATTAAAATAAAATATAAAATTAGCATAAGGGAATTAAGAAAATATCCAAAAGTTAAAATTTTTGTGGACGTAAGTACAACAAAATAATGGTTATTCATACAACCCTGGATACAGGGATACATTTAGAAAATCTGTGTAATAGATACATAAATAAATATGTATCTACATGCATTACATATATTAAAATAAAATTGTTGTTGAAAATAAACACGAGAAGAGAACAAAATCAATAAAAATCAATGAACAAACAAAAGAAGAAAAATATACAATGCATACTTACATACACTCTAAAGTCTAAACTTAATGAATCTGGATCAAAACAACTATCGACTACATAACCAATGTCGACATCAAATTATTAATAAAAGAAAATTGAAAAAATAAGAATGTCTGTTAAAAGATAAAACCTGAATCAAAAATAAGGTGATCAACTCTGTTAAAAGAAAAAGAAAGAGTAGAATTGCAGAAGAGTGACCATCATAGAGTGGCACATTCAGTTGTAAAACTCATATATTATTAAAACTCTCACTTAAAAATTGTATACGAAGCAGTTCTATTTCAATTTGTAAAACTTCATGAATCGAAACTAAAAACAAAATGTCCTTTTAAACACAATATAGTTTATTTTTAGAAACTTTAAATAACGATAAAATATGAAATGCATATCTCAAGAGCTAGAATACATTTCTCAATTATTTTTTTTAATGAAGAGACGAGTTTTAATGAACACAGTTCCGAAATTAGTTTCAATGTACATATAGTAAATAACATTAAATGACTCATTTTTATTCGAATTTCATTATATAGTAGAGTAGCATGTGCTGATAAGGAATGTTAGCATGGCTGTAGATGAAAATTCAATATTATTTGAATTTATTCGGTTTTAGTTTTTACTTATAAAATTCAAACGTTATTAACTTCGACATCATATCTGATTCGACTGAATTTACTCATGCATACACACTTAAGTATGTACACAAATGAACATATATCATATTGTATGCGAAATCATTAGATTGAAAGTTAATTTCGGAGACTTTAACAATAATTAAGGGAAAGCCCTAATTACTCGTACGTAATTTGTTTTGTATGAAAATATGCAATTACATATTATGGTTATTTATGTAAATATATATTTATACATACAACCATACATACATATTTTAATTACTTTATGTTCTAATAGATAAACAAGCAATATTATCAAATTTTATATCAAATAATATGGTTTTACATACATACATACATATTTCATATAAAATACAGAAAGTTCATTTATTATGCTCTAAAACATGTAAATTGGTATAGAAACGTATACCAAACAAAAAACCTTACAACATTTTGTCCATCATACAATTTGTTGTATAATAAAATAATTTTAAATTTTTAAATTTTCGATTTAAAATACATTCGTAGTATGATTTAAAAATAATATTAAAAAAACAAAAAAAAAAAAACGTTTTCAACCGTTATTCTTTTATTTTATGCTTTTTCACATTTCCATGCATATTCTATATGTATATACATATTACTCAACACAATTATACATAATTATTTGTGTGAGTAGTTTGTTTACATATTTTATTTGTGTGTGCGTGATTATTCTCTATATTCACTCAAAAAAAAAATCATTCAATAATAATTTGATTTTCAGTTATTTTGTGTTTATTCATTCGTACCGTGAGTTTTAAACAGAACGGACGTCATTTTATCCGTTTTTTCCGTTTTTTTTTTAGTATTTTCTTTTATTTTTGTGTTTGTGTGTATTATTAAAAAATGTAATTTTTAAAATATTTTTTCGAATCGATTCACCTAATATAGAATTTGAATGAAGTTCCGTTATCATTTTTGTACCTAAATATAACCTAAAACAATATTAGTAAATTTTTTTAAAAATTATGTATGTCTTTATATGTATATAAAATAATGAAAACGTGAAAATAATGAATTATTAATATTGAATAAAAAAATTGAAAAGAAAAAATTATAAAATTGCAATTTGCATAATTCATTTTTAATAAACGGGACCATATTGGACAAGTAAAGGAAAAAAAAAAATCATAAAGTAGTTGTAGTCCGGAGTTTTTTTTTTGTATTGTTGTTATTGGTTTTGTCTATTAAATATTTATAAATTTTTATGTTTTGGTTGGAAAAAAAAATTAAATCCACTTCATTACCTCTGTCTGAGCTGAGATTTTAATTTTGTTTTTTGCTTTTGCGCGCCTCTTGTATTATTTCTTATTTTTTCTCTTAATCTCAGTTTCAGTTACAAGGCTATCAAGTGCACCTGTTACTTGTATTATGCACATATTTATTTTTGTTTTTCTCAATTTTTCTTAAAAATTTATTCTTTTCGTTTTGTCTTTTTTTTTTAGTATTTCAACATTTTATTGCAATATGAAATTTTTTTTTTATGGACATTTTAATAAACTTGCATTTTATATATGTATATATGTAAGTAATTTTTTATATTTTTATGTTGAACATACAAATAAAAAAAATGGAATAATATGACTAATAAATACTTAATGTTTTAATTGAAAAACGAAAATATTTTTTAATAGAGAAATAGTAATCAAGAATAATATAATCTTGCAGGTATATGTATGTACATAAATTATACACACATAAAGGCACATTAATTAAATATTTGATTAAAGAAACAAGTTCGAAATTCAGGTGTTTTTTTTTTAATATTGAAAACAAATAAAAACAAATAAAGTAAATAAAGTTAATAATAATAGTAAAAATTAATATTTAATATTAATGGTAATAGAATAATGTCTAAAATGTTGAATAAAATATTGAAACAAAAAAATAAATATTTGAAACTTAAATTTTTTTAAAATAATAATCAAGAATTTGAGCAAGATAATTTTGGAGTAACTATATAATATACTTACATATGTACATATTAAAAATCCTAAATAATTTTAAAAAATTTAAGAAAAACTAAATATTTACGATATTAAATGAAAATGTTATTAAATTCAGTAAAATTATATTTACGATCATGAATTAATTGGTAATTACGTGAAAGTATGTACTGTAAACCTTAACATAAATTTTTGTTTATTAATTTTAATTATATCCCACTGTTTTGTCATTGAACAAATTTAATAATCAATTATATAGAAAGCAAATTGAAAAATAAAACATTTTTAATGGATTTTAATCGATAAATTATTAAAATTGAAAGAATTTCTGAATTTTAAACAATAATATAAGTATATTGCAAGTTTGATATCGAAACACACATATTTTGCTAAAATTTTCAATTTTTAATTTAGCCCATTTAATTTTATAATAAAACTTTTGAGCATATACAGGTATACAAACAAAAAGTGCATAATTAACAAAAAATATAATTATTTTATAAACAAAAAAAAATTTTGTTTTACTTTATTATATTTTAGCTCGATTAATTAATTGGAATAATTTAGATTGAAAACAAAAAACTAAGTCGAAATCAAGTATTGCCAATATGCTACACTACATGCCGAAAATTATGTAACATTTAATTAGTTAACTTAGAAAATTAAAAATTCGCTCAGAATTTAATCTGATTGCGATTTTTATTAAATAAATAGAAAGTTCGAATAGATATCAGTTTTATATTAAAAAATTAAAAAAAGTAGTAGATTGTTAATACTTATATAAGTAGAAAATGCAATTGCATTCTTGAAATAACAGTACATTTATGAATTTATTATAATTATAATATTTAATATACATAAACAATTTATGAACGAATAAATTCTTTAATATTTATTGGCCAAATAAACGGTTCTATCCATTTTTTTTTGTTCCTCCTTTCTACCCTTTTCTTAAACAAATTAATTAATTATTTATTCAAAAACTCTTTTATATTTACATAATTGAATATTTAACACAGTTTTGTATAAATTATATACAAGAAATATGAATTTTTTTTTAAACAGTGAATTTAAAAAAAAAAAAAAATAGTCAAATTGAAATAAAAATGACCAAAACAAAGAAAAACTGAATTCAATAACAAAAAAAAAAATTAAAATTATTTTACAGAAATAAGAAAAAGAAAAGGAAAACAAAAAAAAAATTCGCAAAAAGTAATCATTGATTCGTCACTGATTTGTTCGGTTAATACCGTTATTTCATATTTTGTGTCAATAAATAAACGGTATTTTTTTTTTCATTCAATATTTTGAATTTTTTATTTTTCATGTTTTTCTTATTGTTTTGTGTTACCGTTGTTATATTTAAATTTAAATTTTTTATTTAATAAAATTTTTTGATACAAAATTAAATTAGTTTTGTTGTTTTTGCTTTCTTTTGTTTTTTTATTTTTGCTTTTGATTGTTGTCGCTGTTATAAATTTCCTTTCGATCTGCTTTTTAATGTTTATTAATGTTTAATAATGTTTACACATATTTTTTATTTTACTTAATCAAGAGTAATATACATATAGTTGCTGCTATTCATAAAATCTGAAAACAGAAAAAAAAACTAAAACTTTATATTTGCAAAATCTCAGGAATTTTGTATGGTTTTTGTGATGGTAATCAACTCATATTATATACATAATATAAATATATGTTAGTGATGATGATAATGATGACGATATTTAAATATACATATACTAAAATGATATAATGATTAATTTAAAGATGAAATATTTTTGTTGAAGTGTATGATGATGATGATCTACGATTATTTTATTTAAAATCGATTTGAGTATATCCAACTTTTTTTTTTTTTTTTGAGAAAATTAAATCGGATTGAGTTTTTATTAAATAATATTAAATTTTTCGTAATATAATTGTGTAGAAAAACAAATAAAGTTTATAACATTATAAAATAAAAAAAATAAGCATAAAGGAGATGAAATATTGAATTGATTCAATCATAGAATTGATGAATTAAATATTATATATATGTTAGATTAAAGGTGTGAGAAAAAAATAAGTTTGAAATGAAAAAATTCATTAAACAATAAAATGCATTTGTTGGATATTTGTGCAAGTTTTTGTTTAAAAAATTTAATAAATTAAAAAAGAAAATTAATAAAACACATTTTGAAGGCCTTTGAAAGAAACATTTTAAATTGCAAGTTGAATAATATGCAGGTAATTTATAATAAATAAAATTTTTGTTTTTTTTTTCCCTCAAAAATTATATTGTAACCTATTAAAATTGAATAAATTATTTTTGTTGTATGCGATTCATAAATAATAATTTTATGAATATTTTAAATATTAAATAATATTTAATAAAATGAAATTTTCAAATTGAAATGCTCAGACAAAATTTTTACATGACCTATAAATTTTCTTTAAGAATTTTTAATATTAATAATTAGTTGACCAGTATCGGATTGTCATAATTAAGTACATATATAATATTTCAGATAACTACTCCAAATTAGAAAAATTTAAGAATTGCCTTAAGATTTAGTCCAAATCTTAACCACTGCCAATTGTGTTGTATGAAAATAGGAAAGTGTGATTGTTTCACATTCTGTTCGTCTCACTTGTTCTTTGTAATGCTGCATTTAATTGTTGAAAAGCAAACTGCCATGCTTTGTAGGAAAGTCGGAATCCAAAACTGGATTTTTAATGAGGAACCATTTTTTTTTTTGCCCCTGTTTAAAAAGACATTATAAACAAATTCAATCTACTTATACAAACTCATTTTATATTTGGACTGTTTACCAAAATAAACAAACAAACTTTTCAGAAAAATCAAACTCCAAAACCGAAAAGTAAACCTACGCTTAATTAAAATCAAGTACTTAACCATATCCATATATCCCTTTTTGGAAGTTTATTAACAAGAAGCTTACGAGTTTTCTTATAATATCAGCCGAATAACTAGTAAATAATAATGTTAAAAAATCGCTGAAATTTCTTGACTCCTTATTATAGTTGCCGTAGAACTTCAATAGTTTTTTGGTCATATCCTAGAAACTACTTAAGATACAATACTAAAATTTTGTATGAACGTGCTTTTGAGATATCACGAGTGCTTATAATAGCTGCCATACAACTTCAAAAGTTATTTGATATTATCTCAGAAGTTACTGAAGCTATAATATAGAAATTTCGTGCAAACCAGTATAATAATTAGGGCTCATTGTATCTTCATTCGTAGTTGAAAGGATCACCTCCATACATATTCCCGTTTTCTCTTATTTTGTTTACTTACTCAATTCGGCCCTGTATTTTTAAATATTTGAGTATGTTTTTGTTTTTTGATTCATTATCAAAATACCCATGCGCTTAATAATCACAAATATTTTAGTTCATAAAATTTTTGTAAAATATAGGTAAATAATTATAATATTATCAGTCAATCAGTAAAAAAATTTAATGTGATTGTATTGATAATTATACTATAATAATATGCTAAAAGAAGGTTAATAATCTTTAATTAGTTTGAATAATTAATGGTTATTGAACTTTTTTCATTTATATTTTATTAATGTATTTAATCTATAGGTAATATTTTATCTCTTATCTTACACAAATTTATTAATTAAATATTCAAAAATTTTGATTACAATTGTGGATTTCACATTATTAAATTCAAATTTCAATAGTTCACAATAATTTTTGTAAACAATAATCAGTTCATTACTTTAAAGATGTTGAAATAGTGTGTAAGTATGTGTATAAAACTCAATTGAACTGAAACAGAACTTAAGCTGTTGGAAAATTTTTTGCTCAATTGCTAAAAAGATAATATAGGTTTCCCATTCTTTTTCGTTATTATTAAAATATACACATAGGTACTTTGATTTATAAATAATTGTTAGCGGATCAGGGTTGTTAAACAAATTTATTTGTCTGTTACATCCACACTGCACATTATGCAATTATTCTTAAATGAACGTGATATTTTGATAAGTAATTAATTATATTCATTGTTATAATTGCTATACTTACTTAACTACAAATATCTATTATAATAAATATAATATAAAATTGCATAGAATATATTTTTGTTCATCATCACCATATTATTACACTGGCATATAAATTTACCGCCATGCAATTAAACGGCAAAAGAATTAATAAGTTGATTTTTCACACAATTTGTGTTATTTCTTTACAACTAAGAAATAAGTACAAATGTGCAATTATTTACAAATACTTATACGTATATATTTATAGTTATTATATACAAATATTTTAATATATTTACAGGCGCTATTTTAAATCTTTAATAATTACAAACATATTTCAAACTACAGAGAGATTAAAACTTAGAAAATATTTTAATATATTTTTTAAGTACGAACAAATCAATAAAAAGTCGTGAATGTAAATTGTCTTTTAAATATTTTTTATGTTAATTAAATCTAATATTAATTATAGAAATAAATTTCAAAATAATACTTAGTATTAATTTTAAGTTTCAAAATTAAATTTCTTAAACCGACAAATGTATAATCTTGAACTTAATTTTTCTAACCTTTAAACTTTTGTACAAGTATTCAAATATTCGTACATGACATATAAGATGACATAACATTTTTTTAACAAATTATACATAATGTAATTTATTCGAGCTGTTAAGTGTAAGAAAAGGTGATTGATGCTCAATCAGTAAAAATATGAATTTGTGTATAAAAATGCATCTTATGTTTAATGTATAAGTTTATTTTTTTGTTCCAACATACATTCCTTACATATAAATTATAATTAATTCCTAATCACATGGAATTTAAATGGCACGTAATAATCTGTAATGTAAACAGAATAATAAGGTTTATTTAAGTATTATAAGTGTTCAAGAATTTATATTGCATTTTTAATGGTATTAATTATGTTAGGTATGTATACAATTAATTGATAATAAATTAAATTGAATTTCTTGAACTTTTGATATGAATTTGATAAGGTTTAAGTTTAATTTAATTAAGACTAAAATTGGAATTTCAAGGATTGTTAATATTGCTTGAATAACAAGACAAATATATTCAAATACAGGTCAATTTTTTAATACATGTTAAGTTATTAATGTATAGAACTAGAGTTTATAATGTTAGTAATTAATTTGAAATTTTTATTTCATTAAGTATCAAGTTTAATTTTTAAAATTTGCAAAATCCCAGCTCTATGTAAACAGCATTATTATTCATTGTTAAGTGATCACCTGACTTTTATTATGCTTATAGTTTACATCAAAATTATTATTTAAATTTTAAAAATTTTAACTTGAAGTCGTGTTCAGTAATTTTAAATTTGTAAAAGCAATTAATTATTTTGATAATTTTATAGAAGGCAAAAATATTTGAGAAATAAAAATAAATAATACACTGCTAAATTCTTTAAACCCATTATTATTGTTTTTTCTCTTTAAACATTATTTTGAATAGGTTGATTACCGAAATCAAATTTTTTTTTATTTAAAAACTGCATGTACATGTATACTTTATGTTATGTAAGTATAAGTATTAATTAGAAAACAAATATCAAAGGTTATCATAAAAAAATATAAATTATTCCCAAATAATTAATATTATCAAAAATTTCTTCTTAATTTAGTTTATTCTTCTTGGCACTTTTAATTATGCTTTTTCAATTTCATAAATACGTATACACACACATATAATATACGTACATATATATGTATACTATATTTTTCAGAGCTAATTATGTGTTTGCCTACTGTTTAGTTTGGAATATAAAATTTAACAGGGTTAAAAGTCAAGTTTTTTCTCTTGTATTATTTTTCTCCAAATGTATGGCAATATTATTTACGTTTCTCTTAAAGGTAAACGACACTCCGAATGTTGCTAAAAGAGTAATGTAGAGGAGTAGTTGTTTCGGCAAATGGCTTCATAATTTATATTATTGTAGAGAATAAATAGGTTCATGAGAAACCTGATTTAGTTTTGATATTAGCAAAATTTATGAGAAAATCATAAATATTATCAAAAAATTACTGAATATGAAGCGAATTTTGCTGAAATTTCTTCTTTTTGTTAAGCTTCAATAATTCCAATTTTCATTATTTAAATCACTACTAAGTATAATTTACACGTCTACATTAATTTATAAATTTTGTATAAATTTTAAAATATAAATCTTAAATATCATTTTGTGAATAAATAAAAATTATAGTGATCACCCAATAAGATGCTCTCTTTTTTTCCTTTATTTTGGTGTTTCTAATTTTAATATATATGTATACATAATAATTAAGTTTCGGTTTTCGCAAAAAAAATTTTTTTTTTTTTGATTAAAAAAGAACAGTTTTAGAGCGGATCTAGAAAAGCAATCATCCATGTCCTAAAAAAATAAATCTTTTTAGAATAAAATAAAAAGAAAAAAGAGAAAATGAAAAATACTAGTAAAGTATATTGGAAAAAGTAATGAACTGATTTTGATTTCAGTATAAAACTAGTTACTAAAAGTTGCTACTATATAATTATTACGGTACAGAGAAAGAAAATATATTTATTATATGCACAAGTATTCACTATCAATACAAATATACTTACCATTTAATATTTTTACTATACAGGTATGCCTATACATAATTATAATATAACAAACAATCTAGACATGCATACTTATAATTGAAATTGAATAACAATAATTTATTTTAAAATAATGTATCGTAAAAATCATGGTATATAAGGCTATATTAAAGTAATGGACTAAAAATAAAATCCAAGAATGAAAGAATTAAAAAATATGCACAATATCTTGTGTAACTTGTATAACTACTAATATAACTACTAATACCATAGCAAAAAAAAAACAAGCTATTTATATTAGTTACAAATACTTACTACTATTAACACGATTACAACTAAAAGCTAATAATAGTTTCTTGATTATATCAAAAAATTTGTAATCTTACGCTTAGAAGCTGTTAAAATGAATTGGTATTCTTAATTTAATTAATGATTTATAAACCACTTTATAGTATATTGTTATACACATTGAAAAATGAAAATAATTTGATCTTCAACAAATTACTTTTCGTTATTTAGCTTATTTTTTCAGTGAACTAGAGCAGACTATTAAATTACATTGAAATATAAACTTTTTGAATTTGGTCTTCAATCAAGCTAGTTCAATACAATTTCAAAATCTTTGCAAATGTACGCTGG